TATCATATAACCTAACATTTGATTATGCTTTACCGTCATTCTACCTTACTAAAGTGCTCTGCTATACGGCAAGTTGATCTTTGTGCACACAAAGAGTTAAAAAGAATGCATGCTAAAGAATATTTTTAACTTCCCAGTGGGCAATGGGTCCAATTTTGCGAATCCCAAAGTTTGACAAATCTCCACGTTTTGAAGTTCCTAGAGTCGAATCCGACAGTTTTCCAGTGGACCTCTGTATGTACGTATATTCGTCCGTGCGTTCGGAATTATTCTTTGCCTCAATTATCTCGAGAACCAAAAATGATATCAACGTTGGACCAATGGCATTCGATGCATAATTATGCTACTTAGAACTGATTAGGTTTTCAGCAAAATCAGTCCAGCCATTTTTTTGCAGAATCAGAAAACTGGAAAAAAGTTCAATCTTATCATTCTTTCCACTGGGAAGTTAGCCGTGTGGACCTGTCGCACCCCGACCACTGGAGAGCGCTGATGTTTTTTTCTTTTCGTATGCCTTCACATTATCGTTATTTGAAATGATTGCTTTAAAAGGATAGTTTACACAGCTATTTTAAATATGAATTTTTTTAGCATTGTTTGAAAATTGGGCCAATAAAATTATACTATGTTAGCAGCAAGTATGTTTTAGAATAATGAATATCGTTATCATCAAATGATCTTAATATTGTAATTTTTTAATACGTCACGAGTCACTCTTTGGCAGCGGAGATAGCTTTCAAGGCTATCCAGTATTACTCTAACAGTGATCTGTTTTATTTGTAACAATACTTTAAATACTTTCTATAGAAATATTCTTTTCTAGAACACATAGTATTCAATAGAAAATACTTAAAATATTTTAGGCATCCTAAGAATCGTATTAAAATATTCATTCAAGTCGTATGTAAGTGATCATAAGTCCAATTACCCACGTACAAAAAATTCAGTCGTTTCATAATAAAGACGTTGATAACAAAATAATGTATCACACATGGAAAGTCAATGCTTAGATAGTAACAATCGTTAATTATGAATGGTTGACATTTATTTCATTCCTAATTATCGTTAAAAAATAAGTTACAAAATTGCTGTTGATTGTACATTATATATTCATCAAGATACACATAACAAAAAATTATGCACAATTATCAATTATTTTTTATTACACCTTTGTTCTATTTGACAACACTGATAACGCTTGTATAAAGAGAGCTCGATTTTCAAATGACTTGCATACAAAAAATTTCTTGATACAGATTGTATTACTTAACCGAGTCACTCGACAAATTGCATTCAACAAAATGTATTCTATTGTAAGAGGAATTGCCCTTATGACGATTGTAGTGGCGGTTATTATACAAAACGCTATGCCATGTAAGTTAATTTTTTAAAAATATATTTCATTGAAGGATCATTATTATATTTGATAAATATTGATTGTTTTCGTAGATATATCCGAAAAGTGTCTTCAATATGATGAGTGTCCATAGATTGTCTTGTACTTCCTAGTTAGAACTAATACAATAGTAACTATGGTGAATTAATTATATATTCGTTTGTGAACATCTATTTCAATAAATTTCTTTATTGTGTAAAAAATTTCATTTGTTTTATTTTTTAACAATCTTGGAAATTCCATGATCAATTACTGTTTCTTACAAACTAGGAAAGCTGAGTCAAATCCCTTCAGATATCGAGGTACAATATTAATCAGAGTATTTTATATTTACACAATTGAACGTGTTAAATATGTCACTCATTCAATTAACATTGTAGTCACTTTTTACCCGTTCCGCGAACATAATAAGTTGTATAAATTTTTAATGATAATTATGCATTTTTTTGTTTTTTTGTGTAAGTAATTATCTAAATTAATTCTTTACTGATATAATTCTTGTGAAAAAAATTACTTAAACATTTTGTAGGTCGAAATTTACGATGTATTTGTTATAGAAGCATTGCAAATCCAGCTGCATTTTTGTTACACATCTAACCGTGCTAAATATGACGTCATCCATTTAGTGTAGTGTGGTCACTTTTTACACACTTGAAAATGCCTTAAAAGTGGTTACAATGTTAATCGATTGATTGATGTTATATTCGATGAGTTTAAATGTGTAACAAAAATGCACTTAGATTTACATTGAGATGTCCAATAAGAATTTTTGAAGTATTTTACATGTTGAAGTGTTTAAATTTATTTTACTTTTTATACTTGGTCTATTTATCAAAAAACAGTTAATGGAATATTACAAATCATTATCCGTAATTTTTTAATAAGTTTATATTTCTACTCTTGAATGTAATTATTTTGCTCATCATTCTAATATAGAAAGAATGAAACTTTCAAATGGTCACAAAATCTCTAGCTAACACTGGATACTTTCTGTATGACGTTCTCCAGATTTAGCTAACTTTGATTATGATACTATCACTGTCAGGACAAAAGAATAAAAAATAAAGAAACAAATTAACAATACCATCGAAAGTTGATCATTTCATTTTATTATTTTCTTGAGATAATATTAATTAAAAGTCTTCTCAATGAGCGATTTAGTAAAATTAATTAAACTGTGCGCATTAACACACATGGCCATTGGGTTATAATGCAAGCAGTTTGTTTCCACTCTCATTCTTGCGTAAATACACAGTCTGTGTTACTCTCGTTAATTTCAACATACCTATGTCTCTATAAGCGAACATTCTTGGTGAGGATCATGAGAGGAAGCAGCAAACGAGAACTGAGCAAAATTAATATTATAAAAAGGTAGTAATCCGGCTGGTGAAATAGACGGAGCGTTAACTGGTGCCCAATTTATAAAAATAACGATGAAATAACTGTAGCGTGAAACATACGCTACTGCAATAGTCACAGGTCCAGTTTGGAGTTTGGGGGAATGAGGGAAGTTTGTAGTTTAAAAAAATGAAATGTATATGGCTGATGGAAAATGATAATAGATGGTGTACATGACGTATGTTCTGCCCATCATCAACTGGCGAATTGTGTTCATTGAACGGTTGATGTTTCCAGTCCCACTTTAGTTGCATATTTCACGTTTCAAAAAATATGTTCGGTGATACGTAACATGATCGTTCTAGTAGTAGTCCAGAATGTTTATAACGATTGCAAATATGTTTGATGGTAGGATTAATTAAAAAAAACCATCAACATAAAATGTATTACTAGTATACATGTTGTTGATGAGTATTGGTTTTAGTAATAAAGCAATAAATAGAGTAAAGTGGAGAAAATTACATTTTTATTGTAAAATTTGATATTTTGCGGAGTCGATTATTGATATTGATATTATCGTAGAAATAAAGAGGATACCAACTGATTTGATTTGGGGTGCAGGATAATGAAAAAAAAAAGAAATTCAATTGAGAGCGAAAGAACAAAGCTGTAGTATAAAAACTCTCAGCTCTTGGCTTCCTTATCGAATCATGATGAATCAGTGAACGAGCCATCACGCGAGTTGCACTCTACTTCCTCTTTCTCCTTTTAGTCCACCCCTCCTACCTTTTGGGGAATTGCCACCGACTCACTTTATTCCCCTCTCGTCTGCCTCAACGTTCTCTCCGCAATCCTCATCGAGCCGATGCTAACAATGTTTGCAGATATATTGTATCTCACGCATCACTTGGCCCACAAATTGTTTTATAAACAGATTATGGCGACAGCCGTCCACACGGGGTCGCGAGAGCTTCCCTGCTGTATATGATGATGGTAATACTCCCTTACCACCACCACCACTGTCATCATCTTTTCTATCTATAAATATACATATAGTGTACCTATGTAATATATTTATATATCTCTCTTGGGTACAATAAAAGTAAAGATAAATGCAATCTTAGACTCACATCATGTACTTATAGGACATCGTGTTTATTGACCCGAAATATTCTGCTCAAGATCTCATTCTTTTTTTCTAGAGTGCTTTTTCAATTTCTCTATTTATTGCATTTATTATATACATTTACTACTCGAAGCTTTTAATTAATTTTCAACTTTCCAAATTCTAAATTTTGACATGTCTTTCTACGTTTCAAGATCCCTAGAGACAAATGCTTCAGTATTCAAAAAGATGTTCCCCTAGTAGGATCATACAACAGATCCATTGATGGGCCAGCATTGGAACTGGCATAAAATCATCATCCATCAATGGTTCTGTACTCAGTCATGACTAGATGATGACTTCATTTACTGGCAAAACTGACATATCCTACTAGGAACGTATGCATATGTACGTTATTAATTTTCGTCGTGTTTATCGCGAGAACAAATGATGATATAGACATGGAACCAGTTTCATTTAATGTAAAACTATGTTACTTAAATCTGATTAAATTCTGTTCAAAATGAATCAAAAAACTAAGAAGAGATAAATAAGCTGATTTTCCCAATTTATCTTTTTTTTTTCTAAAGCAATTAAATATTTTTTATCAATTTTTGTTACTTTTTATTAGAAAGTTAGTCATGTGTACCTTCCGGGTTGCACTTAGACCAGATTATTTATAATTTTTTTTGATGTCATGATATAAAGATTATCAACATTTCATTTAACAATTTAAAATAAAATTTTTCTAATGTTCTATTCAAAAAACAAATATTAAATAAGTCTGAACAAGGAAAGACATTTCTACTTATTTTAATGATTGAAAACAATTCGCAATCCTCAAAAACATTTATTGAGACAATTCCTCAGAAATCCCCAGCTAATTAACAACATTTAGATGCGTTCTTCTTATTCAAAGGTGCTGAAAGATAATGAGCTTCCGATGGCAGGAACATCTGAACTGGCTCATTGGTCACGTAATAGCGGTTACCCGCTGTCCGGTAGTGGAGCACGTCCTTATTGTGGTTTACCGTTAGCTTAATGGGCTGTGACCTCGAGCCAACCCCGAGGAATATTAGACTCCAGTTACCAACAGCATCACCAGCTACCACAGGAGAAACTTAGTTTGTTGCACAAGAGAGCGGAAGAGCTAACGTCGACCGACTTCGTGACGCGCCTGCCGGGCGTCTCCGGTCGCGTGGCTTTATAGCTCGTAAACCCCCTTAAAATCAAAATAGTTAAAGCAACATTGTCTTCTTGATTGTCATCTTGTGTTATTATCCCAGCAAGACTTCTTTACATGCTTTGAATACACTAGAACTTCTTCATAAACGTTTCATTCCAAAATGGATCATTAATTTAGCAGACTGGAAATGTGACTTTTGATGGTACTTGATTCTGAAGGTTTTTATGTTATTTGTGTTGTTGCCAAAAATTATTTTTAGTTTGTTTTGTCAACATTGAAATGACTACATTGAGTGTTTATAATTCACAGGCATTCAATAGATGTTTTTTGGTTAAATAAATAAAAAAGTTTATTTTATTTTTCGAAGTAAATCAATAATTGATAGGTTTTTATGATGGACATTGTTGTAAAAAAAAATTAAAAAAAAAGAATCATCACAATAAATCTGGACTGAACAGAGAGATACTTGAAATTCCCTATACACGATTACCAGCTCGATCTCGAATATAATTTTCTTGTTAGCCATAAAATCCAATCATAGTGAACGGGTAGGTAGGGTGGTTTCATCTCTGGCAGGGTGTATTTCCACCCCAAGCCAACCGTTACCGCTCTTTTTGCGCATTACCAACACACCACCATCACCCAACCAAAAAGTAAAACAGCACACGAAAGTGGGTATAGTAACATGTTGATAGTCTTTAAAATTAGCTAATAATTTCTTTAATAGTTTATTCTATTTTTCAAGTTATTAATATTTATTAAAATATTATATCATTGTTTATCAAGTCATGTGATCAAGTTCTCTCTTATATGAATCAATAATGAGCATGTCTCAAGACTGTTCTTGTCTGCAAAACAATTTTACCTGATGTAGATACACTTACAGATTCAATTCCAGCAACAAAAATAGTTGCAGTAGAGAATGTTTATTATTTTTCTATTGTATTTCCAGCGGAATACTTTAAAGCCGAAATTTAAGGGTAGTCGTATTTTATTTTTGAGTATCTATTATTTTTTTCCATTGAATCAGTGAAGATCACCGAGCCATAGGAGGAGTAATGGGCGCATCTTGTGATTGGAGATTGTAGTAAGAAAGCAAGAGAATGAGGCAGTAGATTTGTTTCCCTCACTTCTATACCCCTTTCACTTCTACCCCTTTGCCTTTAGCAATCTTCGAAGAATTGCAGAGGTATAGAACGAGTGCCCTCTTCTCTTCGATTCGCCTCGCTGATTACAGACCACCAAGTTGAATCAATTAAACTTTAATCCAGAGCTGGAATCGAGGGTAACTACCCCCTTCTACTCTTGACTATTTTTTTAATTTTATTCTTCACAATATCACAACGTTGCTCGAATATCTATAAAACATAAGAGGTAAAACTGAAGATGGAGCATGAAAAATAATAAAATAGGAGAAAATGAAGAGGAAGAAATGGCATAAAAAGTAAAAAGTGCATAATATTTCGTGGTGAACGATAAGGGTGTCAGTAGGGGGTAGGTGTATCGCTTACGGGAAGGGAGGTAGACACAATGGGGTGCTGGAAACGAGCGGAAAGAATAGTTACGAGTAATAC